TAAACTTTTCTGCATAGGCATACAAACCGATTCATGAGGACATATCTATATATTAAGTGGATTAATTTCACCTATATGTACGTAAACTCATTTGCTGAATTGCATTTAGGTTAATTATTAATGTTTCCGTTTCTTATTAACGTTTTTTACTGTACTAGTGTATGTAAAGATAAATGAGCTTTCTATATTAGGATGTGACGGAAGTAGTTCGTTGTAGTGCCTTTTTGATTTCTGATGGAATGTTTATAGTAAGCCGTGCGGTAATGCACCGGTGTTGTGCCAAATGCTGCCAACATTTTTTACGTTCCAGTCGTGCACCGCTAGCTGCAAAACAGTTCAATAATGGCACCGAATAGTTAGGAAGCTGGAAGTTTATCAACTGAGTCGCGATCAAGTGAACCGTCTCAATAACTCAGGAAAAAAGGTAGTAAAGTTCGTAAGGAGGAGAATGCTGCTAAAAATCAGAGAGAACGCGACCCGGCTACCAGGTCATGGCGGCTTGAATCTGTTAGATAAACTGCTTTATAAAATACCGTACGTCACCTTAACAGGAATAGTTAATCCCCGCCAGCTTAATATAGGTGACTTTAAGATATATTTCAGGAAGGGTAATTACTCCCCTATCTTATCCTTAACACTAACCCTCACATAAAACTGAACTGTAACCTTAATTTAATCCTATCCTTCTTTACTGTCAAAGCAAGCCCAAACGTTAATTTTTAATATATCCCTGACCCTAATGCCAACATTAAGCAGAACTCAAAGCTAAACGCTAATCCTCATGTTAATCCAAAACTTCAATATTCTCGGAATTGGGTGCAAAGCCACATGTATTGCTGACGGTAGTTATTCCTCCATCCTATTTATGCGGCCACACTGGTCATCCTCACCAAACAACGCAAGGCTGTCGAAAGCACTATGGCATGGTGACCACGCCTTGGCTTTATTCTTCAACAGAGTTGTATCCCTTTCAGTCTCCCTATTGGCCTGCGACGGAGCAGAGTCGCTGATAGAATAACGAAGCTTCACAACAACAGGCTACTCGGATTAGACGTTATTTCTAGTGAAATCCACGATTCGGGAATTGACACTTTGGCCCCCTGGTTTCATAGAATGAGTTAGCAGCTGTTGGGTGATCAGCTCGTCCATGATAACTGAGGCCGAACATCCTCCTGTCCACCTCCAAGAGGAAAAGATAAGACAAAAGCGAGAAATATCACAACTTCTGTGTCACCGACATTACTGTAAAGGTCTTCGCCATTGGTATTTTCAGACGGTTCAAGTGTGCGCGTCTCCAGGGGGCATGAACTGACTGTGGCGCATTCAGCTATGGCTCCCGGTACCCCAAAACGTGTACGCTTTATGTTTTTGACGGAGTTTGATTTCTTTCACCGTGAGTAGTGGTGTTTGTAATGCTGACAATTAGCATCACCATCACCTGCACCTACTGTCGTTCCACCGCTGTGTGAGCTCTAGTTCCCTGACCATCCACGCACGCAGTCCACAGAGGTCACTTAAACATCCTTCAATAAAAGTTGAGGAGGCTATTTTTCATCGAAAAAAAAACAACTTCAGCGTGAACAAAAAAGCTAGTTTGACAAACAGCTAATGAGCAAATGCTGAGAGAACAAAGTTTTACAGGCATTTATAACGTAAAGACTTTTGTCGAAATTGCGTTGGAAAGAACAAGAGGTGCTGATACATCAATGCTTCATGAAATAATAGAGCCAGTGTACGGATTTTTGAGTCATATGTTGCCTCTCATTAGTCTATTTGATGAAGCTCCCTTATGGCACACTATTTCATTTGCATTAAATGAATATCAGGTACTAAGAATCAGGAAAAAAATCGATCAGTGGAACTAAAAAATGACGTTTCGTCTACTTGCGGCCTCACGCAATTTCCGGTATCAATGTTCATATGTATAAAATAAACGAACAAGTCGTTCACAGCGAATGAAAAATGTTACCAAAATCATCACGTATTTATAAGTTGATCAATTCTTCCATAAAACGGAATCTTCTCGCATGTCATTGCAAAGAACCGCACGATTGAGAACGCATGCTTTCGTAGTTCAATCGCTGCAAACGACAAGGTTCATCACTGTTCAGAGGAGAAAGTTAAGGATTGCGCGTGAATTTGTTTACAATGAAGCAAAATGATTGGCGCCTACCCGGTTATTATTATTTTAAAATACCGAATATCGTAAACAAACCAATGTCTGGGCGCTTGAGGGTTACGCACAGAAAAACGCAACTGATCGGCCTCTCAGCTTCCTTTCCCAGGCACAAGCGGTCTGCCAAGTCAAACCGCATTCAGATGGTAGTATTCAGAATGTCGGGCGGGAATCACAGTCACGTGGGCTACGCACCGATTTGGATCTCACTTGGCTCAGATGTTTGTTAAAGACAATAATAGGGAGGGGAGATTTTTCACTTGGCGCCTGTCAGAGCGGGGACCTATCAGGTCCTTTAGCGAAAGTAAACATCCGAATATCAATCGTGTTTTATTGATTATTGCCGGGAATGTGCTGAATCGCAACGAGAGAGTCTTCCTCAATGTTGGCCTCTCACACCAGTCCACGTCGTGTGCAACAATAGGCGGGACCGGACACAGTGTCTAATGTGATGTGAATGTTTGCTTGATTCATATCCCGTGCAGATGTGAAATAGACGACTCAAACATACTCTACAAAGCCACCTATGGGAGCAGCAAAACTCAATCCGATAGTTAGTGACCGTCTGCCCCCCCCCCAAAAAAAATAGCTTCAAGATATTACGTAGAATGACGGCGGTCAACCGTGATAATGGCTAATTGGGAGGGTATACCAAGAAGGAGCGGGATTTATTTGAATGAAAAGCCATAAATATTTCGCTCTGACAGACAGTGGACAAGTGCTATCCTTCCTGTTAATTATTCAAATTCTGACCTTGACGACATTTTGACAATGGAGACGCCAGCAGGAATTTTTAGAAGAAAGCTGTATTGTTTCCACCTAAGGAGTACTTTTTATCATGCGACTATCCCAGGATGTCGCCCACACAACCACCCGGCGTTGTCTTCAAGTACTTTCAAAAATCCCAGATATTAAATATCGCTATACCTTTGCCTCAGTGAAGTGTTCCGTTCGCTAGCATCTTGAAAGGCGAGACCTGCCCTTCAATCTACGGTCTACCAAAGCCAAACGGATACACTGGGGATGGAGGATTACGTTCGTCCTCGAAGCCCGGCACGACACGAAACAAACCCCACCCCCTCAAACTGCTCCTCGTCATCATTGCTCGACGAGTTGTGATTTAAGTGGACTTCAACATGGCTATAGTCACTGCATTCTGGTTGAATTTGTTGAGAACGGAGGTGCCCGCAAGAAAACATTTCTAAACCATGACAACAGAAGGATCCATCAACTCCCTCGCCAACACGGAGCCGGTTTACCCAAAAATAACAAAAAATAGCAAAAATCACAAGCGAGCAGCCGGCTAAAAATTGTTCTACGAATTGTTAGTTACTATTCATACTTGAAGAAATACATAAGGAGAAAGTCGACTGCAAATAACATTTTTGCATTTTTTTTTGCCCGCCACGGACGTCAGAGACATTGGTTCTGAACAAGTTGGCCGTCAACTTGAATACGCCACCCATCGAATTTTTGGCTGGACTTGATTGCGGGCAGTAATGTGAAATTGACGTCATATAGTACAGCTCCACTGTTCAAGCCTTGCAGTTGGTCAGATCGCGGAGATCGACCAGTAACTGGGTAGACAGGGCTCGTTTGACTAATAACCGTAATCAGGTCGCAAAGGGCGATGCTCATCCCTTAGTAATTTATCGTCGCTCTGCACTCACTTGCTGGAAAACCCAGCACCGGAACTCAGGATCACAACCAGACGCCCACATTTCGTCCTGTAATTGCTGAACACCAACTTTGTATCATTGCTATATCCTTACATGCAAAATGTCCGCAAAGGTCAAGCCCTGACAGCCGTTTCATTTAACAGTGCACCACGGCCGTTCTGAGGTTCAGTGTTAAAATCTGTTTGAATATTGAAGCAGAACGCTTTTTACCTATTGACCTAGGCATAAACAGGATTCATTTTCATTGGACACTTCAGCTTGGTGATTTTTGTGACCACACCTTCTGTTGACCGTAAACACTCGGCTGCAGAAACGGTCTCCTGCATCTGTCCAATCTGGTGCAAGCTAAACACCCAGCGACAGAGCGATGGAGACGAGTATACATATAGCAAGATGCATTCGCATTCACACTGCCGAACTGTCGCTCACTGGGTCTGTCTGATGAAAATGCAGTGGCCGTTTGGCGCCCTTTTCGTGCTCCTCCTTCTGTCTAGCGCGAAGGGCCTGATTCCGAAGCCGTTGAAGCTCGAATTCACCGATGAAGCCATGGTCATTCCTATCGCGTTTAACTGGACAACCAATGTCCCCGACTGCTTTATATTAAACTACGCAATCAAGCGATTTAAGTGGGGACTCCGACTGCGACATCCACTTTCGGAGGCATCATATACACACGTTTCACACTTGAATACACTGACGATTTCAGTAACTGATGGCTGCGATGAGCGCATGGGGGCCACAGTGCCGACTGAATCTATGAAAGAAGAATGTAAGTGGATTACTCTGTTAGCCATTTTTATCTGACGCTATTTACATTTTCCACTTTAGATAAGTTGGAAATTTCAAATGGGTATATCAATATTACTGCACCTGAAGTGTGGGGTGCGATGCATGCATTGAACACAGTTGTGCAGCTCGTATTCAAATCTAGGACTCAACAGGTTAGATATCCACAACGCATGATTGATTCGGTCACCTTTTTAGGTCTTCCTGAAAGGCGTGAAAATTGAGGACTCGCCGAGATTCCCGTTTCGTAGTTTTCTGATTGACACATCTCGACATTATATTTCTACTCAAAAAATGAAAGATTTCCTCGTAACTTCCAGCCCCTTTTACTTCTATGACCAATTCGACTTAAGGAAGCAATGGCGTATGTGAAGATGAACATATTTCATTGGCACATTGTTGACGACCCTTCATTTCCCTATGAATCTTCGACCTATCCAGGACTTTCGGGAAAGGTGAGTAAACTTCGCTCATATCAAGACAGTGATTTGAGTGCCTTTTTGAAGTTTAACAAAGTGCATAACTTTAACCAAAGTTGGTTAATGGTACAAGTTATCAAAGTAAGATCTTACGTAATGCTTGAAAGGGGTTAATTAAGACGTCCGAAAGGAACATTTGGGTGTCAGCACAAAAAAAGATGCAAAAGAGGCGTCCTCCTTTGAGCAAATACAGTTGTTTTGTAAACGAAGGAATATGTAGCTGTTGAAGTTCCCGTATATCATGGAACGAAAAGAATCTTACTGTCTTTTCGTGTGAACGTACTATATTTGCAATTTTGACTAAGAGTAAGGAGGAGTGCACCTCCTTCAGCAGTTGACGAGTAAACAATGTACAAAAAAGTGTTTTCTTTTATCTAGTCAAATTTATCAGAACCTTTAACTGCGAAACAAGGTAATGCATTTAAATTTTATAAAATTTCAAACAAAAATAAGACGCAAACTTCATAAAAATATCATTCTAGTAAGACAGGTTCCTGACTGAATACCTTATTCTTCTCCGTATATTTTTGGCTGAAGAGTCATTTTATACGGCTCTGTGTGGTCTCTTCATTTTGCTTCTGCATCAGTCAATGTATCCAGCAATCTTCCATACCAATCCCTGCTATTTAGGGTGCCTACGACCCATCGGCTGCTGTTTATACAATTGCTGATGTAAAGGAAATTATCGAATTCGCCAGACTACGTGGAATACGCGTGATGTCCGAGTTCGATACGCCAGGTACGAGAAAAGTTAAGGTTCAGATTTTTAATATCTAAAAACATTTATGAGTTGACTTTTTTACTGAACAAATACTAGATTTTCACACAAAGCTCATGACCTCTGTGTTAACAGGTGACGCCGTATATACTGCTGGGGCAATTTTGGATGGAAAGGACTGTGATCCGGTCCGTCGAGGCTTTCCTCTTTTCATTTAAACACAACTCTTTAACATTGCTGCGGATTTTTGCAGCACGGCTGTCGTGGATGCAATGCTTGCAAAAAGTTCCCTCTGGAAGCAATTGTAGAAATGAACTACTCTCCGGCATTTGTTTTTAGTCGACTGAGATCGACTGGGCCACTTGTTAGACTCCCAGTCGTTGGCAAGGATAAAGTGAATAGGTGGATACGGGCAACCGGTGACTCAGTCCTCCGAAGACACGTAAAACAATACCATGATGACGTTACTGAGAAAAAACTTGCAGTATAATTACTCCGTTGTAATTGAATTAAACGCCAATCACCCCATGTTTGAGGAAACGTCGTTCAGTCCACTCTATTTTCCGGGGATTTGACGTATCCTACAGCAATTTTCGTGGCTAGCATCTAACTAGTTCGCTTTAATTACATTCTAGTTCTTTTGCGGGCTACTAAAATAATCCGTTTAGAGAGGACCCAATTCTGTAAAATTCTGCAAACGTCAGGGGCAGCATTCAATCATGGAATAGTGATCAAACAACCGCACATTTTATATTCGCTCCAATCTAATATCCATAGGCATGCCTGCATGCGAGGGTTTCTATGAGGGCCTGGCTATGCAGTGGAAGATTTACTGTTCATTCTCCGACCTAATGTAGGCCACACACAGTCCTGGGGCAAAGGATACCCCCATATCCTCGCGCAGTGTTTCAAGGGTGGGAAGCCCACTGGTGAATTTGGACCAGTTGATCCATCAAGGAATTCCACCTACGACTTCATGAGGGCTCTGTTCAAAGAGGTTACGAATATATTCCCGGAGAACTACCTCCATCTCGGTGGAGATGAGGTTGATTTTGCCTGCTGGTATGTTCCGATTTTGTCTCTCTTTCATAGACAGGCAGTCAAATCCAAACATCACAACTTTTATGGAGCAAATGCAATTTGGTAAGGACTATAAGAAGCTGGAAAGCTACTATATTGCTCGATTACTGTCAACTTTGCAAAGTCTACCGAGTTCGAAAAGGAAATTGAGACCAGTAGTTTGGCAGGAGGTATTTGAGAACGCACCAGACGTAAGTTTTCGTCTGCCCAGAAAAATGGACTTTCTTTTCGTAAGGTTTCCAAGGATGTGACGGTTCATGTTTGGATGGATTCTCCCTGGGATGCCGAACTCAGAAAGATCACTGCGGCCGGTCATGAGGCTGTTTTCTCCGCCTGCTGGTACCTCAGCGCCATGGGCTATGGTGAAGATTGGCCAAAGTACTATACGTGCGACCCCGGGACTTTCACAAGTAAGTCTAAAACGCATGATACCAATTACCCAGAAAAGCAAAAAAGGTTGTCCGGTTACATACCACTAGGACTCTTACATTGCGCTTTTTCCTTAAAATGCCTTCGACACCGAATGCTAAAATCGCTGAAAGCTTTAGTTGTAGGATTGATAAAACGTGACATGTATGACGACTAGCATGATAACCAAAAGGATACATCGCTTTTTATGTTATTTTCTTAGAGATTCTTAAAAAAACTTTTAAAATAGGTTGGTGTGGC